TTCCGATTCGACTTTTAATAGCTTTTGATCCTCATTTTTGGGAGCATTTTTACCCCACTTAGAGATCAATACAGAAAATACTATCTAAACGAAAGATGTAGTATGATATGTGATGAAACTACTGGTTTTCAGATCACCTCATTTGGATTATCCATCTATTTTATACGAATATTACAAAACAGCATATCAATCCTAAATACATTGCAAACAGCCCCAAAAACACATTGTTTCGAGCCACTTAGAATAATAACTGGATTTCCGATCCTACATGAAAATTATAGTATTTGTTAAGGGATTTCTAACTGCAAAATATGAGCTTATTCCGACTTACGGTTTGCAAGTTATACACTGTCAAAATATGGACCTGCATAGTCGGTAAAATCCGGTTTCGGAATTCCCGACTAATTTTTATAATCCAACTTTCATGATTCGCTACATTTACGTGTTATAAACATGTTTCAACATACTAAACATGAAATATATCATACTTATAACAATATCCATCCGTAAACTTATACATAACATAAATTATAAACCGGTCTAAAAATTGCTAATGTAAACACCCTAACAAGATTGAATGAAATTTATACCTTTATGAAGGGTTCGAAGAGTGGATTCCGATATATAATCGTTACTTCGATTGTTTCAACGATTTGCAAGAAATCTTAGAGAGAAGAAGAAGAAGTTTAGTGAGAGAAAAAAAATGAGAGAAAGAGGCGGTGATGAAGAAGATGCCAACGATGCATTGCTTATATATATATATATATATATATATATATATATGTATATATATGTATATATATATATATATATTTTTTTATTTTTTTTATTATAATTATAATTAGTTTAGTAATTTGACGGTTTTAACCTCTTAATAATTATCGACCGTTTTTTAAGTACAGTACAATTTGGATAAGTTAACGAGAATGTGTTTTTAAAAACCCGGGTATTACAATTCTTCCCCCCTTAAAAGGAGATTTCGTCCCCGAAATCGAATTTAGAGATAGGGAACTTACATTAGTTGAAGAATTCTGGATACTCCCGCCGCATATGTTCTTCAGTTTCCCATGTCGCCTCACGTTCCGAGTGATTCTTCCAAAGAACTTTTATAAAAGGAATCACTCTCTTTCGTGTACCTCTCTCATCACGATTAAGAATTGTCTCAGGCTCCTTGTGATAAGATAGATCAGGCTCTATATGCTCCAAAGGATATTCAATGACGTATAGGGGATTATAGTTGTATCCTCGCAATGAAGAGACATGGAACACATTATGTAAGTGGGACAATTGTAGCGGTAGAGCTAACTTGTAGGCCACAGCTCCAACCATTTCCAGAATTTCAAAAGGACCAATATATCTCGGGCTAAGCTTCCCTTTGAGACCAAAACGTCTAATACCACGAATTGGTGAAACTTTCAAGAAGACTTTATCACCAGATTGGAACTCGATAGGTCGTCGTCGCTTGTCGGCGTAGCTCTTTTGACGAGCCTGAGCCTCTTTCATCATTTGACGTGCAATTTCGACCTTCTCGGTAGTAACTTGTACTAATTCTGGGCCTTCTAAAACACATTCTCCAACTTCCTTCCAACAAGTCGGTGTTCGACATTTTCGGCCATAAAGTGCTTCATACGGGGCCATGGCGATACTCGACTACCAGCTATTATTATAGGAGAACTTGATTAGATACAAGTAGTTATCCCAACTTCCATGCCATTCCAACGCACATGCTCGGAGCATATCCTCCAATGTTTGAATTATACATTCAGATTACCCATTAGTTTGCGGATGAAAGGCTATACTAAAATTCAAACGTGTGCCCCAAGCTTTATGTAAACCTTCCCAAAATCGAGATGTAAAATGTGGGTCTCGGTCGGAGGTAATCGATACAGGTGTGCCATGAAGACGCACAATCTCACGTTGGAAAACTTCGGTCAGCTTAGCAATTGACCAAGTTTGTCGAACAAGAAGAAAATGAGCCGATTTTGTCAGTCGGTCTACCACTACCCAGATTGCATCGTGTTTCAAGATCGTACGGGGTAATCCGACTACAAAATCCATAATTATGTGCTCCCATTTCCATACTGGAATGTTCAACGATTGGAGAACACCACCCGGACGTTGATGTTCAATTTTAACTTGTTGACAAGTGAGACAACGAGCTACAAAGTCGACGATATCTCGCTTCATTCCAATTCACCAGAAATGGTTCCTCAAATCGCGATACATTTTTATTGTGCCAGGATGAACCAAAAACATAGAGTTATGAGCTTCGGTCAGAATTAGATCTCTAAGCTCCGAGTTATTTGGAACACAAAGACGATCCCAAAACCACAACACATGATCATCATCCATTCTAAACTCTGAACTAGAATTCTCTTGTGCCTGCTGGAAATTTGCCCATAATTCACTATCATCTTGTTGGGCTTCTTTGATTCGAGAGATTAAAGTCGGTTCTACCATTAGATTCGACAGAATTTCCGTTTGCGAACTCSGATAGATTTCTAGTCCGAATCGTTTGATTTCCAAAGCCAGCTCTGTAGAAACAATTAAAGAAGAAACTTGTTCCACAGATTTACGGCTTAAAGCGTCGACGACTACATTAGCTTTGCCCGGATGATACTGTATCCGAACATCGTAATCTTTCAGAAGTTCGAGCCACCTTCGTTAACGCATATTTAACTCTTTGAGTAAAGATATATTTGAGACTTTTATGGTCAGTGAAAATTTCACAGGTCTCACCGTACAAATAGTGACGCTAGATCTTGAGTGCAAAGATYACTGCAGCCAATTCGAGATCATGAGTCGGATAATTGACCTCATAAGGCTTTAATTGACGAGAAGCATATGCGATCACTTTTCCGTGTTGCATAAGAACACAACCGAGACCTTTCTTTAAAGCATCACTATAAACTTGAAACCCACCAGTGCCAAACGACAATACAAAAATAGGTGCGGTAACCAATCGATGCTTCAATTCCTCAAAACTAGATTCTTGTTCGGAACCCCAATTGAATTTGACTTCTTTTCGAAGTAATCGGGTCAAAGGTAGCGATATTTTAGAGAAACCTTCAACGAATCTTCTGTAATAACCAGCCAGACCCAGAAAACCACGAACTTCAGATACGTTCGTAGGTTGTGACCAATTAGTGACGGTTTCAATTTTCGCTGGATCGACTTTGACACCTTCGGCAGAGATTACATGTCCGAGAAAAGACACTTGATTGAGCCAAAATTCACATTTGAAAAGTTTTGCGTACAAACTTTTTGTCCGAAGAGTCTCCAAAACAATTTGAAGATGTTGATCATATTGCTTTCTTGACTTCGAGTAAATCAAGATATCATCAATAAGCACGATAACAAATTCATCGAGACAATCCTTGAAAACCCGATTCATAAGATCCATAAAGACCGTTGGAGCATTAGTTAGCCCAAAAGGCATTACTAAGAATTCATAATGCCCATAGCGGGTTCTAAATGCGGTTTTCGAAATATCAGAATCTCGGATACGAAGTTGATGGTACCCGGACCGAAGATCAATTTTGGAAAAGTATCGTGCCCCTTGTAATTGATCGAA